GTTGTCATGTTTCTGGCGTCTTAGTCGTCCTCATTATTGCCATTGGTCAACCGGCTGCAGTGGCTGGTCAAGTCGGTCGTGTCCCGGCTCTTCTTAATCAGTGTCAGTGCGCTACAGAGGTGTTCGTCTTGTCGATCGATCGGTTGGTTGGGCAGAAGGTCATCACACAAGAGACCCGGCGTCGATTCCCAAACGTGCACCTGAAAAGAGTACACGAAGCGGTTCGCCTCCACCATAGGCGACGTTAACTGCGAGTAGCAACAAGCACCTAAAACGTGGACATGACTACGAACGGTGCCAAAAACGAGGGTCATTCGACGGCAAGTGACAACTGTGAGTTGAACGCGAAAGACGTCGTTTCGAAGCCGAATTCTAAGTTGTGCGAAAAACTTTCATCTTCTGCCAATTCATCAGCCGAGGAACCGCCTGCATGTGAGGCAAAACGCTTCAAAACAAACCCGGATCATGTCGCCATCGACTGTAAGTAGTCTGTGGTCGTTGGAAGCAATTTATGGGCGGGGGGGTTAAAACAAGTAGATAAAAATCAAAGACGTCGGCCCAAGTTTGCAACTCCGTGCCTTACTGTGGCTTCGTTCGAGCCGATGTGCAATTTCGCCGTTGAGCAGATTTTGGCTACAGTAAAATGTGCGGCGTTATTCTGAAATAAGTCCATTCAGCGTCTGTGCCTATCGCCAAAAAAAGTTCGATGAACATAAACATAATGCATATTGAGAAAATCAATTTGAAATTGCGACTAATCGATCGGCGCTCGTAGTGTCCCAGTGGTCACATTGTTTCAGTGTTCTTTTACTGTGCAGAAAATATATTAGTTTTCATTGCATTAATGAACTGTCGTCCTTGACGAGGCTGAACTTTTCCGTAATTTATGGGACTTCCTCGAGTAACTTATTTGCTGACATGTCTATCGGTCTGGGTCCTCTTGGTGGCATTATGAAAAGGACTATAGGACTTCCATACAAATGTTCAAAGCCGGTGCCGGAGGCACGTTGACAAAGAACCTCTATTTGAGGCTTAGGCCTCATGTCGAAAGAGCAGCCCTATGGTTGCCAACTGTGCCACCGATAGCGGAGCAAGATAAACGGGGGGTGGGTGGGTGGGGTAATTCGATAGAACTGGTGACAATCCCACTGATGTCGAACAGCTTCCTTTTTCTCCTCGCTTGAAAAATCCAGAAGTCACTGACATCCACGTTTCGCAAGGCCAAATTTAAGTTTCATTCAGCAGTACTGCAGGCCTATGCTTTAATGCACTGCCGTAAGACGCTCGTCACAACCATTTGCGACTGATGCGGTGAGAATTTGACGGAACACCCTCGGTTACAGCGTTGTAGGAATTTTCGAGGTAGCGCAGTTGCTTCACTGTTCAAATGTATGGCTACCAACTAAAGAATTGACGGTAGGAACGCTGCTTTCCAGATTCCGTCTGTTTATCTTTCGCCAAGAGATTTTCAGGCTAAATTAATCATATCAAACACCGGTTTACTGTAGATAACGACTCAAGGACCAACGGTTCATCGAAAGTCTATCATCATGGCAGCGTGCACAAAATTTCTTCTTCCGCAAGTGCCATCTAAGTTTTTGTAAGTAGCACGTACAAAGCGTTTTGACATCAGGCTAACATTCTAAAACATTAGTGTTTACGAAATTGCTTGGTTCCACTATCTCGGTGTGCAAACATTTGCACTGACAGTTTATTTGCAGATGATTGAAGATAACAGAAAATTTATCTGTAAATAATTTAACTATATGCACACCGAAAGTGAGATGCGGAAGTTAGATAGAAGGAAATTTGTGAAAATGTTTATGGTCTCAAGCTTTTGGTGTAAAACAACAAGCCCCCAGACATAATTAGACGTTTGCTTTTAAAATTGAATTTCCTGATTTATTGTGAACTATAAAGTTTTCATAATCATAATCTCTACAGAGTTTACTCCGTATATAAAGTTTATTAAAATATATCCCAGCGTTTCGTTACTGGTTTGACCCATCTTCAAGGGACATCGTATAACAACAGGTACAACTGTATGATGTGGGATGATCTCAACGTGCAACTGCGATCGTCGAATTGCTGAATCGTAGTGTACTTCAGGATGGCAGGTTCAGATGCAATTCATTTTTGATGTTCCTCATCCCCTTCTCTTCCAGAGTGATATGAAGCTCTATCTGCTCTCTCTTCAAAATTTTCAAAATTTCAAATTTCAAATTCAAATATTTCTATAAGCAACGTTTTTTTATCCTACGTTTCTGGTTTGCGTTTTTCCCATACACTTTTCATATATTTCCAACCAGTGATACGGCCATTTTTTACAGCGTGTTCGATCAGTGAAAAATTCTTCCGCATTCCTCTTTTATTTTCGCCATGCCGTACGTGAATTTGTCAAACGATCCCTTAGATCGCCATTATTCTATCTCGCCAGGTATGAGTGGTGATCTAGTTGCCGGTTTGCCCAGTACACGCATCTTCACATTCTCAAAGGAGGATATAGATTTTGCCTCATTTTTTCCCTGTGTCTCGATGCTCTTAAATGATAGTCTTAAAGAGTACGTTTATACATTTTAATTTGAAGTTGGTGGTGCAGCTGTTGCATATTTAAAGATGTCACATTGTAAGTTTTGGAGCAAGGTCATGTGAAGACGGAAAATTTGTTCTTTAAGGCCATTGTTAGGGTTGCATTTTGAGCTACGCGTGTTCTTCATGTTGTTTCTGATTCTCGGAGGTAGACAGTAGGATTTTGGGTAAAAATCGCCTTCGAAATGAGTTTGACTTCGTTATACCGAACATTCAAAAATACAGTGGTTGTTCTGGTTGCCATTAATCACAAGCACGCCCAGGAATGGCAGGGTTTGGTCAGACTGAACTATTTTGATGAATTTTATGCGACTGTTGCCGTTCATCACATTCTTGTGCACCATAATAAATAACATAAGTGCTTATTACATACAATCACAATTTTTTCAACCCAGTGGACTTCTGCTGCGTGACTCGACCGATAGACCAGATCATAATCATGGTTTTCGTCATCACTGCCATCGTTTTCTTTTTCCTTCCCCTTTCAGCACTGAGTGGCAGGCAGCAAAATAATCAAATGGTAAACTTAAATACAAGTGACCTTTCAGGTAAGGACACGTCAGCTTTGATTTTGACCAATGGCTGAATGAGTCTTTGAACTTAACAACCGTAGCCAATAACTCTGATCGTCGCTAGCAACCATGGTTTGAATCGATGAAGCCGTGGACGAAGCGAAAAAACGCAAAAGATCTATTTCTTTTTCTCTGACGCATGAACAGAAATGACATCCTGCTGACCACTTGCTTTCTGTCGATAAAACCGTTTCTCGGTTATCATTCAACAAACTGAGGGACAATCTAAGACGCCGCCTTTTCCTCGCAACAGTTATTTTATCTATGAGAAGTGAACAAGAAGGTCAACATGCTTCGTTGCTTAACTGTGCAATCATAAGACCCAGCTGCTATGCATTGAGTCGTGATAGTTAGTACGACGCAGACCGTCTACCGCAGGAAAGGCCACCAAAAAGCAGTTGACCAATTAGTTTAAGAATGCGAAGCAGATCGGAAATTCGGGAGACGATTTTTAAGCAAAATTGCTTTTTGTTCTGAACGAAATCTCTCACTCTGAAAGTTACAAATCTGAAAAGTAGGTACGTGCTGTAGCACGAATGAATGAATGATTCGAAAGGATTACTTCTTC